AGAAAGAAAGAAAGAAAGAAAGAAAGAAAGAAAGAAAGAAAGAAAGAGAGCAGGGCGAGCGCGCGCTCAGAGCGCGCTGTGCAGAGAGAAAGACAAAGAAAGAACGCTTAAAGAGAATGAGTGGGAGAGAGAGAGAGAGAGAGAAAGAGAGCAGGCGCTCTGGACGGCGCGATCGGGCGCGCTCTGACATACGCTCCAGAAAGGCGCGCTCAGAGCGCTGGACCTCCTGAGAGAGAGAGAGCAGGGCGTGCGCACGTGCTCTCGTGCGCTATGGACGGCGCGCTCGCGCGCTCTCTGAAATATGCTCCAGAAAGGCGCGCTCAGGGCGCGTTCTGCAGAGAAAAAGACAGAGAAAGAGAAACTAAAAGAGAAAGTGAGAGCGAGAGAGAGAGAGAGAGAGAGAGAGAGAGAGAGACAGAGAGAGACAGCAGGGCGCTTTGGACGGCGCTGGCGCGCTCACGGCGCGCTCTGCAGAGAGAAAGACAGAGAAAGAGAAACTTGAAGAGAAAGAGAGAGAGAGAGAGAGAGAGAGAGAGAGACAGAAAGAAAGAAAGAAAGAAAGAAAGAGAGCAGGGCGAGCGAGCGCGCACGCTCGTGTGCTATGGACGGCTTACTGGGCTCTTCTCCTCCTCTTGTCCTCTGCGCTGGGCTCTGTGGCTGGGCCTTGTCCTCCTCTTGCCCTTATCTTGGCCGCGCCCCTGAACTCTGTGGCTGGTCTCTGTGGCCCGGCTTACTGGAGAGGAGTGTGGCCGAAGAAATAGCGATGTCAATGCCGACAAAAATTCATTGATGAAGCAGTTTGCTCTTGGGGTGAAGGTAGGGCGAACCAAGAAATCGATTTGACTAATATTGGTCTAAACGAATCGTTTTGAAGCTGTTTGGGGTCTATGCTTGTATAATTGTTGATCCTGTTCTTACTTTTCGATCTGGATGCCTTGGGAAACACCGTATGAGGATGTAGAGTAAAGTTTTGTCCCAGATTAAAAAACACGTTAGGAAACGCTGTAGGCAAGCAGGAGTTGTTATCCTGTGGCGCAACAAGGTGTAAGTGTAAGGCAAGGTAAAAATACTTATTATCTTAAAAATTGAGGAAACGCTGCGCACACGCAGGAATTGTGATTCGGTGGCACCTAAGGTGTAGGGCAAAAGTTCTAAGATTATCGCGAGTACTGGATCTGGTTGACGAAGACGGAGTGTAGCATATTGAGGTCTGGATTTTGATATTTGAGCAATGGAAATTCGAAACAGTGAGTCTGCCAGGAACCCTGCAAAGATTGAATCCCTGACACCGCTTGTGGCGACTAGCGCTCGCGACCAGGGAATCTTTTCGGGAGCTGGATAATGGGAGACTGCAGGCCGCTGGAAAGCTCCGAAGCTTCTGAAAGTGAGTGGACTAGACTAGACTGTGGCCGTAATCAAAAGATTCAAACAGTTTGTCATAGGCAAACAAGAGGTTCGTCGCGGGTACTGTAAACACATTTATTGTGCACCGCAAGATAGTGCAAGCGGGCCATGCTCTTCAGCCTATACAATGCCTTCAATCCTTGCGAACAACATCCATAAATGGTTCTGACGGAAACAGCGACAAAGTTACAAGTCAGTAAGCTTGAGTTGTGGCCAACCTTACCTGGAACATGATGTTGGATAGGTTGGATGGGATTTGATGTTAGGCACAATTACACTTGTGAGAACGAGTACTTTGGAGATTTGAATGTTGAAGAGATGTATTAAAGCACGGGAGGATGAATATGTAGAATGAGAAAATTGTCACAACGATGATGCAACCCGTGGCAACATATAACCGTTATAAGTTCTAACCGAAGGGGTGGACCGTGCTACTCAATAGCCATTCAGCTTGGCCGCAACATGTCGCAAATACCCATTACATATATATAGTCCGCTGTACGTGAGCTCTTTTAGATGGACCCAACCCCTTTCCTGACTTCCATCTACTACTGTAAGTAATCTTTATACTGCGCTGCGAAGTTGCTGATACTGAAACCGCCTGTGTCAAGCATAAAAACTATATTCACTGTTGGATTTGGACTCTGGACCGCGCTCATGGTTAAATTCGCGCAATTCCTTCATGACCCTTCATGACCAAACCGAGCATGTTTGAGGTTTTTGAAAGTCAAAGCTCCAACTTTTCGTGGGCCCTACAGGCCCTACAATTGCAGGCGCTTTATCAAATACGTACAATATGTATACATATACATCATATACTCACTTAGGCTTGCTGTTCCGGACCTGTCCTGAGGCTTCGGCATGAATCAGTTGTGGTTCGTGGCCGAGATGTGCTTTGCCCGACTGTGTTTCAAATCTACCAATGATTTTTTCATGGCCGCCTTCAAGCTCTGTATGCCTCAATACAAAATCATCGCAAAACAAAGAGACGTTCAAAAGTAGCTTGTGAACCCTTGCCAAAGAGTTTGTTGGTAAGAACGCCACATATCTGGGGACCCGCGGGCGATGCAAATGCAGTCTCCTTCGTCAGTGCACCTTGGCAACGTGCTCCAAATCCATGTCATGCGAAATATGATGGTCTTGCATTTTTGAGTTTCCGAAAGTGATTTGCACGATGCTTCACGTCCATATTTACGCATAGTAATCAGATTTGCCAGTCATTCTTGCATTAATTCCAGCCAGCCGTTGTGTGGTGTGCAATCCGAGCCATGGCGAATCCTAGTCTTTCAGCGGAGCACTCTGGTCAATCTGTGTTTTCTTTCTTGCTGAATCGTGGACAGCTGGAGCTCAGTTATGGTTGTGTCATTACTAAAATTACAAAAACAAAGAAAACAACGGTGCCATGCTGAATCTCACTGCCCCATGTCTTTGCTGCCATGTGGTCTGAAGATGATAGAAACGTTTCTGTTTCTAACACTTGTATCAACAAGTCTGAACATTTGGGCGGAGCTGCAGTCCAGACTGTGGATAAATGTTTCTAGCTTATGATTGCCTACCCGGATGGACAGTCACTTTTCTGCCACCCCTCACAGCTGCAGGTCATTTCTGGTTTGCCCCAAGTCCAAGCGCTGCAACGGCAAATTATGTTTTTGGGTGATTCCATCTGTCCAAGTTGTCGTCTTGTCTGGTGCAAAAGCTTTAGGTGTTCATATTGACTGGCGAAATGCAATTGGTTTACCACCGGCCCGGAAGATTTGCTTCCAGTGGCTCTCTTTGGTCTGACGTTCCCTCTTTACCAACTTCTTCTAGACTCTAGACACTTCAACACACAGGTGGAGGAGCGCAAATACCTTTGAGTCCTGGCACGTTCTCAGTGCGTGAGCTGAGAAGGCACTCTTGCATTTGCAGGAAAGACATAGGAAACTCAATGGAGAGGACAACCAAGCACACCCGTCTGGCCAAGAATATCGACCTGTGGACTATTTAATATTTCATGTGCAGCCCTCAGTGACCTCAGTTCAGATGATCCTGGGTCACGCTGACCCTGGAGTAATTGATCTCCCACCATTACTTGAGGTGGGCCCACTTCCCAGGAATCTGCACAAACCGCTTCTGTGTAAACAATTAGCCACAAGCAATCTGTATGCCCGCAACACCAGTGAAACACATAGTTGGAACGAATTGACCCATGCAACCCAACAGCAGGTAGTAACGCATTTGACTGGGATTTTTTGAAACGTTCCAACTATTGTCTGTTGCTGAAGCTCAAAAACCGAACCCACATCCAATTGCGTTCCAGTGCTCCGGTGCGCCCCACAGTTGCAAACCCAACTGCATTCAGTTGGGAACTGATGAACTGCAAAATCTAAAGTGACCACCAGCCAGGTTCCAGAATCATAGCCTACACAAGGATGGCATTCCGGCTCTCAAGCCCTGTAGTCAAAGCACCACTCCCAGACAGCACCCAACAAGGCGCCCGCAGTTCTAGAATGGAATCCTGGCTTTCAAGCCTTGCCAGCCCAGACAGGACTCAGGGTTCCAGGATGGATTCCGGTTTTCAAGCCCTGTAGACAATATGCGCACCACTCCCAGCCCAAACAGCACCCAAAGTTCCAGACTTCCAAGATGAATTCCGGTTTTCAGGCCCTGTAGACACTTCAAGCCCAAACAGCACCAGCGTTCCCAGTCAAAAGATGGAAGCATGGAAGCCTGCCCTTGTTTTTGCAGATCTATTCTGTGGCAAAAGCCGTCGCCGACACTTAGACCTCCTTGGCTGCCGCAAACCAGAAACTACTTGCTGGTACAAACGAACTGCCCGTCAGCATGTCCAGGCCCAAGTTTGTCGAGGAGGCGATGACGAAAACTGCGTGACAGCCAGCATGGGATCTGTAGACATCGAGGAATCAGCTGGCAAAGGCAAACTCCCTTCATCATTTTCCACTTCAAGAGGTTGCGGTCATTCGCATATGTAGTTTGTTACCCGAAAGTGCCTCTACGCTCAGCAAGTTTGGCTTTGCATTTTTAGCTGGAGGGCAATTCCTGCAAGCTGGTGATCAGGCAGCCTTCATCATTGGGTCAAGAGGCCATTTGTCCTTTCTGCCTTCTGCATTCTCACAAAGAAGTATTGAACACCTTAACACCTTGAGCAATTAATCCTTCTTGAATGTCCACTTCACCAGTTTGCGCAAACCGAGACGCCCGAAGAATGTAAAGCCGCTTTGCTCTCTCCGTGGTCCCTACTTTCGCAAAGTCTTTCACAAAAGGACAATGCTCAGTACTTCCACCAAAAAGGGGCAAACCATTTTTCAGCATTGGTCGTGTTTGTTGCTCATTTCATGAGCTTGCCGGTCTCATACCTTTCAGGCACCAGCTTTGCTCAAACTTGCCTCATTGCGCAGCGCAAAGCCTGGGTTCAGGCACTTTTGACGTGTGACTCTGTCCTTGCCGTAGCCGAAGGTGAAGCTGGATGACCCGTAAGGCCACCCACACTTTGTGTGCCACGTGACCACCGGTGAGGCTACTGGTTGGCGAATGTTCTCATGCACCAAGCCGGACTTCGACTGCCGCTTCGTCCCATTGTTTGACTGATGCTTCCATTTGTCCTGAGCGGCTTTAAGTGCCTTGACTTCGGTCTGTAGTTTCTTCGCGCGCTTGGCCCAGTTTTAACTTCGCCACCTTGAGATCGGCAATCTCCATATCGCTCAGGCGTCTTCCTTGATCCATTTCTTGGTCGTGACTCGCGGCAGTTTGGTTCAGTGCTATCGAAGGCATAACGGGCATAGTTGCTAAGGCTTCTTCAGCATAATACTGTAGTATGACATTTGATTTCCATCGCCCCAGGTACGCCACTTGTGGCGCGCGCCAACCCCTCCTAATGTATTGTAATGCCCCTGATCTCCTCGCCGAATGGCCTGTTACCTTCTTGCCGTAGAGGTTCCGCCAGGCTTTGATGATGTCGTCCTTCGAGGCGGGGTCTCCTTCTGCTAGTTTTGCCACACGTGTGTCCTCTATCGTCATTTCATCCAATAATTCTTTTGAAATCGCAAATGGGCAAGCCTTCGAGCCTTCGCACTCGCCTGGGCAGGAGCATTGCAGCATGCGCCTGCGCCCCAAAGCCTCAGCGTCCTTCTTCGATACTCTCAGATAGAGTGATGTATTGTAAGCAGATTTGTTCTTGATGGCCAAGCAGATGTACAACAGATGAAGCCTTTCGACGCATTGGCACAAACAGCTCATTTTGCCTTGCAGATCTCATCAGCGATCAAAGTGCACTATGCTGTTCTTAGGAAATTTCTCATTTCCCAAGCGCACAGCTCTCCGGTCGCTACCCAAAGATCTTTCTGTCTATTTACAGGTACTGCGCCGAACGCAATTTGGAGGCGCTTCGAACCTGCATCTTGAGGCCTTGGGAGGATCAATCTTTCGGGCAACTCCGCTTTGTCGTTTCCTCCACTGCGTCGTAGGTCGATGATCACCCGCCTCTTCTTGCCCCCATCCGGTTTGGGTTTTACGATCAACCCCAACTTTGAGACCGTCTTCTCCTTGTAGCCCCGATCGCGCACCTCCTGCTTGCTCATCGGGATAGCGTAGCATAGGTCCATCAGCCTCCGCAGTTCTACAGCGCTGTCTTCTGGATTGTCCGTCACCGAGGCGTAGTTGTGGATCTCCCCCTTCAAGCTCTGGACGGCATTCTCCTCCGCTGCGGTCCGTCGGCGGGAAGATTCCGACTGCCTTGATGGTCTTGGGGACACCCTGCTTGACCCACTCTTCTACTTCCGTCTCCGGGTCGTTGCCTTTCCTCCTCCATGCACTGATCAACTCTGCGTCCAAGGGCGAGGTGTACTCTTGTCGGCTCTTCAACTTGATCGCAGCGCTCCCTTTTGCCCCTGTGACCTTTCCCATGCTCCTTGTATCCTTAGTCCCAGGCCTTGTAGGGTTGGGAGTCCTTGGATCACACTCTACCCTTGTTTTCTCCTTTTCTTCCTCATGCTCCGCTCTTGGTTCTCTCTCCTGCTTCCTTGGTTTTCTTTGGATTGGCTCCCTGCTCTTCAGTCTTATCTTCCTCCTTCTTGACCTGCTTCTTCCTCTCGACGCTGGCCTCTTAAGAATTGTCCACCTTCTCCTCCACTGTAACCTTCGTCTCCTCCTCGCTCTCAGATGATATAGGCCTGGGGATCTTTGCACACTTCAGCAGCCTCGTCTTCAAAGTTTCTTCTGCTCCTTTCTGTACCACAAGGATGGGTTAACTTAGCTCATGTTGTTTTGTTTACAAATCATACATATTCTACTTACCGTGAACTTATCTCGTGAGATTTAAGCTGATTTATAAGTTGACTTACAAGTTAGTGTAAGTATGACAAGCGTTTTTGGAAAAGCTTGCTTTTGCAATTTTTTTTGATTTTCACATTTTTCAAACTTTCCATGCTTTTTTCAACAATTTTGATGATGTTTCAAAAAAAGCTATATTTTTGTTCATTTTTGGAATGGCGTCAGAAAACCTTTGTTTTCTACAGCGGGCACACCGCCACGTCTTCAACCTTCTGCTATTGAATGAACGCTCCATACCACATACCCTTTGTGAAGACGCCAAGACTGAAGTATTGGTTCCTACACAAGGCACAAGCAATCCTACAGCGGAGGAACCGCCCACAATCCTACAGCGGAGGTATACCGCCGCATTGAACCTACAGCGGAGACACCGCCCTCACCAAGACGGCAAGACCTACAGCGGACACACCGCCTCCACAGGAAGAATCTGTCACAGGAAGATGTCTGAGTCTATATATATTCTATATATATTAACATATGTAAATATTTGTGCTCCACAGGAAGTACACCGTTTTTCGAAAATTGACTTGGACCCTCCATCCCAAAAAAAACCCGACTACATCTGACTACACCCCGACTACATTCTGACTACATACGTCGTCAGAACGAAGTCAGG